TCCTCTCCAGGTTCATCTACTAATTACTAATTACACCTCCATACATAATTACCTGCTTCATAGCTTAATTAATTTAGTTAATGAATTGCTTACGTGTACATGCATGTACATGCAGGTGGACCAGAGCTCTCCGGCGCCAGAGCTCTCGAGCCGACGACACCGACAACAGCAGCAACCTCAACAACATCGAAGACATCATCAACGCCCCAATCTCCAACTCCGTCGAGTGCTACGCCTGCACGCAGGTTGGGGTCCCAGTCTTCCACTCCACCAGCTGCGACGGGGCCCACCAGCTCCAATGGGAGGCCTCCGCCGGCTCTTCCCTAGTCCCCATCCAATCCCGTTCCGACCTCAAAAAGGGCCTCTCCCGCTGCCGCCCCGCTGGCCCCTTCGGCCATGTCCTCGACCCCCGCAGCAAGCGCGTGCAGAGGTGGAACCGCGCCTTCCTCCTCGCGCGTGGGATGGCGCTGGCAGTCGACCCGCTCTTCTTCTACGCGCTTTCCATCGGCAGGGGAGGGACCCCCTGCCTCTACATGGACGGCGGGCTGGCGGCCATCGTCACGGTGCTGCGCACGTGCGTGGACGCCGTGCACCTCTGCCACCTGTGGCTTCAGTTCCGGCTGGCGTACGTGTCGCGGGAGTCGCTCGTTGTCGGGTGCGGGAAGCTCGTGTGGGACCCACATGCCATCGCCTCCCACTACGTTCGGTCCCTCAAAGGCTTCTGGTTCGACGCCTTCGTTATCCTCCCCGTTCCCCAGGTGAGTGAGTCCCCCGTGCCTCTACCTTTGTCTTTGCCTTTCGTCATCTTCGAACATTCATGTCTTTTATCTAATTCCCAAATTGCCCTTGAGTCATTGCCCCTGTTTAATTAGAGATCAATTAATCAATGGATAAAATTCAATTATGGTTTGGTGGTGTTGATAATTTTTGACATGGGTTCAGAAGTGTTTATATACTCTCGCCACTTCCTTTCTGCCCTTTCCTTTCCTGTAAAATAATTTGTTGATCAGAAGTTGCAAGGTTTGTTTTCTTGGTACCGAATTGCAGAGAAATTGGAATATTTTGGCTGAATAGTCTCTCTCTCCGCTTCTCTCTCTCTCTCTCTTCTTGCAGGCTGTATTTTGGCTGGTACTTCCAAAATTGATCAGAGAAGAGAAGATTAAGGTGATAATGACCATTCTTCTCTTAATTTTTTTGTTCCAATTCCTCCCAAAAGTGTACCACAGCATCTGCTTGATGAGAAGAATGCAGAAGGTCACAGGCTACATTTTTGGCACCATTTGGTGGGGTTTTGGCCTCAATCTCATTGCCTACTTCATTGCCTCTCACGTAAGTAAAATGATCAAATTACACACTTCATCTTAAATCTCTATTAGTTCTTGATGCTTAGTTAAAATTTCTCCTCCTTTTCATGCTTTCAGGTTGCCGGGGGGTGCTGGTATGTGCTCGCGATTCAGCGCGTAGCTTCATGCCTAAGGCAACATTGTGAATTGCGTGCCAACTGCAATCTCTCTTTGTCTTGCTCAGAGGAAGTTTGCTACCAATTTTTGTCACCGGCAGGCACGATGGGAAATCCTTGTGGAGGCAACACAACAGCAAGTGTGGTGAGAAAGCCCCCATTGTGCTTGGATGTCAATGGAACATTCAATTATGGAATCTATCAGTGGGCTCTCCCGGTCATATCTAGCAACTCACTGGCTATTAAGATCCTTTATCCCATCTTTTGGGGTCTAATGACTCTCAGGTATCTTGTTCAACAAGTAAACTTTTCAATTGGAGGTCTGCTTTGCTTCAAATTCCTGGACAATATATCTAATTGTGTCCCTTTTCTCTGTATCAATTGCAGCACCTTTGGCAATGATCTTGAACCTACAAGTCACTGGCTAGAAGTTATTTTCAGCATATGCATTGTGCTCAGTGGCTTACTTCTCTTCACTTTGTTGATTGGGAACATTCAGGTGACTTGCAACATCAATAATAACGTAACATTTTCTTTTTGGATGCTAAGATTTTTTAAGGCCAAGTCTGACTATGAGGACTTGACAATACAAAGGTATTTCTGCACGCGGTTATGGCAAAGAAGAGAAAAATGCAGCTGAGATGCAGAGACATGGAATGGTGGATGAGGCGAAGGCAGTTGCCATCCGGTTTGAGACGAAGAGTGCGCCATTATGAAAGGCATAGATGGGTTACAATGGGGGGAGAAGATGAGATGGACTTGATCAAAGACTTGCCTGAAGGGCTCCGAAGGGAAATTAAGCGCCACTTATGCCTAGACCTCATAAAAAAGGTAACAGGAAGTAGCATATTCACATTCACAATTATATGATACACACAGAACATAATTCATAACTTGTACTATTTGATTATATGCAGGTTCCCCTGTTCCACAATTTGGATGATCTTATTCTTGACAACATTTGTGATCGAGTCAGGCCACTGGTTTTCTCTAAAGATGAAAAGGTACCAACTTCATCATCTGCATATAGTGATTTAATTTCTACCCTTTTCAATTTACATGTCAAATCACATCATTAACATCCAAGTAAAACAGATAATTAGAGAAGGAGACCCCGTTCCGAAGATGTTATTTATTGTGCGTGGACACATAAAGCGTAGCCAAGGCCTAAGCAAAGGCATGGTGGGAACCAATGTGCTTGAACCAGGAGGGTTTCTGGGGGATGAGCTGCTCTCCTGGTGCCTTCGCCGGCCATTCATAGACCGCTTGCCAGCCTCATCTGCCACGTTTGTTTGCCTCGAATCAACAGAAGCATTTGGCCTCAATGCAGATGATCTGAGATACATCACAGATCATTTCAGATACAAATTTGCCAATGAGAGGCTCAAAAGAACAGCAAGATACTACTCTTCCAATTGGAGAACTTGGGCTGCTGTGAACATACAATTCGCTTGGCGCCGCTACAGGCTGAGGACTAACAGAGGTCCTGTGATCCCTGTGGTGCAAAATGGAGGCACTGAGCAGAGGCTGTTGCAGTATGCTGCAATGTTCATGTCACTTAAGCCACATGACCACCTTGAATAATTAGCTTTATATAGCTAATACCCTATTTAGGCAAAAAAAATCTTGTTTATGTAGAAGAATCAAATTATTTGGACCACATTTTCAGACCCTGTTCAAGACCATTTACTCTAGTTACACCCCAATTAAAGAATTGGTCTGAAAATGTGGTTCTATGTAGCATTAGTGTATGTAATTAAAAATTTTCTCTAATAATATCATCTTTAAATGGTAGTGTTTGATGTATCATGAATGAAATGACTCTCATCTCTAAACTATAAACAACTCGTTTAAGATTCTTATTATATGGACTTATAACTCAAGTAGTTAACAAATTTGTGATGAAGTTGGCTATCCAAAGGATAAAAACTTAGTTGCAAGTGCAACATGGATAATACTATTTTGCTATCTTTAGTCAATAATGTTATTTCACGTGAAAGTATTATCACACATGTCATAGCATTATTGGTCGAGATAACAAAATAGTGTTATCCCTATTTTATGAAAGTCTTTCTCCTATCCAAGGACCCATCCACATTAATTTTCCGTCGTCTTTTTCCTTCTCCGGACAGGCTTCACAAGTGTAACTAACTTGGTATTTGTATGACATGTTATCCTTTTTAGCTGAGTAGTACATAAACAATAAAGTGGATGTCGTTTACTGAAGGATAAAGATGTCCTCTTGTCGTAAGCGAATACAAGGCATACATCACTGGTAAACAACATCATATGTTATTTAGCTGTTTTGGAGATTGAGAGGAAAAAAAATGACACAACAACTTCCCTCTTTGGTCCCACAAAAAACTATGGAGTTTCATGAAAACTGCTAAGCTTACTAAATTTTTGTACCACATTGTATACCCCTATCTAATAGAGGTAGGTCTCATTGTATTGATGGGCTCCACTTCTATTAGAGAGGTAGTACACAATGTGGTATAAAAATGTGGTAAGTCTAGAATTATCCAAGTTTCATTGTCGCGGTCATAGCAATTCACCCCTAATTTTCTTTACTTTCCATTTCATTGTGAAATTGCTTCAATTTAATGACTTATTATTTACAAACGAATCAAGATTATGTGGGCATGGAAGGAGTACAATGCATTGACCAATTGACCAACTAGCGCCAATATAATGTTAGTAATATACAAAAAATGCATATTTGTGTGAAAAAAAGAAGAAGGAAAAATTGTATAGATTTTAAATGAATCATTTAAAATTTTATGGGACACACTATTCCTCCAATTGCAAGTCGTTACTTACTTATGGTCATATACAAATATTTTTCCTCATTCGAGATTTCGTTTTCCCCTTTTTTTTTGGTGGGGATAATCTGCCAAAACAAATGTAAGCTCAACCTTACTAGGTTCAGAAACTAGTAGCCGTTATCAAATCCCAGCCAAACAGAGCCTAAGAATTTCAGTTAGGCCAGAAGAGTCCCAGCGCCCAAAATTCCCGCCAATCCCAACGGTCATAATCAAAAGAGCCTCCTTTATGTCCCGATACATACACATTGCCCTAAGTTCTCGCCCAATTTTGCTCCAAATTTCATTTTAGCACAACAATTTTGTTCTAAATTTGGGGCTGAGAAACCCAGCCCCCATTTCCACTCCAAATTTAGCTCAACTTTCCAACCCCAATCAGCTTCTCTCTGCCCCTATCTCTCTCTCCCTTTCTCAACCAACGAAAAATGGAGGTCATCATCGCATCCCAGCCACCTTGACCCCCACATTTTCTTTTTCCTTTCCCAAAAGCTCATCCTAGGGTTTCTTCCCCCAATCTTTCATTTTGGGGGTTTTTCATTTTTTTGCCCTAGAATTTGCTTCAGCACTTGAAGTCCCTTCAACCCAATTCATCACAAGCTTCATGTTCAGCTGTGCAGGTACTTATTTTGTGTGTGTGTGTTTAAGCAAGATTGGTAATTCTTTCGGTGGTTGCTGATGAATGGTGATTTGGTCACGTAGCATAGTACTCACAAGTAAAAATGGGGTTGAAGTTTTCAAGGCAAGTGCCTGGGAAGATGGAAAGCCTGACCATACAACACAAACTGATCAATTGTCTGAGTAAAAGCTTTTACATCCGTAACTTGGTGTCGAAGCAACGGAGGCGAATGCTTGTTGCTGGTTATGATCTTGACATGACCTACATCACGGATCGCATATTGGCAATGTCATTCCCTGCAGAACGAATGCGGGCAATGTATCGTAATCCACTCTGGCAGGTCAAGTCTGTGCTCGATATGAGACACGCAGATCATTATAAGGTACTGCACTTTTAATACAATAAATGCCCTCTTAATTTGTTTCTGTAGTTTTGGTTCCAGTATAAAAATTGAGAATTTTTCTTGTTAAATGTTTATCTTTCTGTGTGTGTGGGATGTTTTTGCAGATCTATAACCTTTGTATTGAAGAAAATTATGATCCGTCTCATTTTTATGGTCGCGTGGAGTGGTTTCCTTTTGATGACAATCATGTTCCACCTCTTGACATGATGAAGCTCTTCTGTGAAAATGTGGATTCATGGCTATCGCACAATCCAAAGAACATTGCTGTTATACACTGCATGGTACGGATATATAGTAAGCCAGAACATATCTAATTTCTTAAGAGGTTTTGTTAACTTTGTTCAAGTGTCATATTTATATGTATTCATAGTTTCAAAATTTAAATGTCCTTAACCCTAATTGATCTGTTGTTGTTTAATCTTAATCATAATGTTTGTGTTTTTTGATCGATACGATTTTGCTGCAGGCAGGCAAAGGTCGAACAGGCTTAATGGTATGTGCCTACCTAGTCTACTGTGGGATCTCAGCAGAGGAAGCTCTTGAATTGTATGCTCAAAGGCGGACCATAAATAATGAAGGAGTAAGTCATATTAGGTATAATACAAACAATTTCTGACAGAATGCTAGTATAACATAATCTGTATGTACAATAATTACCAAATTAGAAAGCATCCCCTTCTCATCTTTAGTGACAGAATTAGAGTCTACGCTTTTCTTCCCGTTGAGAATTCTTGGAAGAAAAGGATGTGCAATTCCTTGCTGCCAATTTATCACTCTCTGATGATCATGTTTACACTAACAAGCACATTGTGGTTCATATGTACTTGAACAGGTCTCAATACCAAGCCAACGCCGTTATGTAGGATACTGGTCACATTGTCTTTCTTTTCATCCTGAAGTTGATGATGGACCTCCCTCTGTGAATTTACCTCCTCCATGTAGCAGAGAACTGCGAAGAATCCGATTTTATGACACAGTTAACATTGACAAAATCTTCTTTGTGGTCTTGGAGTTGCAAGAGGTATGCCATTTTTGCATGTTCTCATTACCTTGAATCTGCATGCTATGGTTTGCTTCAGCTCTTGATCAATGGTTACAAAATTTATCATTTCGTTTAAAGTTTGTGAAATTCTAATAACAATTGGATACTTATCAAGTTCTATGACCTCTGACCAAAAAAAGAAAGTTCAAGTTCTATGACCAGTTACAAATCACAATGTACTATAATGTGGTTAGCTAGTCACCACTATTGAGCCAATCAGTTATAACCTTTTAGTATTGATCAATGAAAATGTCCTTTCTTACCCATGTTATCTGTTTTTTCTTTTATGTCTACTGACAAGAAGCTTTTGAACCTTGTGTTAACAGATTTCCAGTCAGATTTATCGTCCATCACTGGAAGTTGCTAGGAGCTCCTGCAAACAGATTAAGAAAGGATATCAGAGAACAAGCAGTCCTCGATATTATCTCTCTTTCATTGAAGGTGATGGGGCAGACAAGAAATCAGAACAAGAAGAGCCTCATGTTGTAGTTCAAATGGATACAGAAAGTTCCATCCTATACCAGAAGGCCTGTCTTGAATATTACTTTGATAAGCCTGTGCAGGTAAGGGATTGGTTCTTGAAGTTTTCATATATTGTGACATTTAAGAAGGAAACTAAAGAAGAAAACAATCTATTGTGGATGGTTCACAGTAAACTTTGTGGGGAAGGAATTATGAAATAGAATTTGAAGATCAAAACTTATTTGAAAGTTCACTTTTCCAATGATGTTATGTTTGTTTCTAAGTTTGTGAGCCTGTCCATTGTTTAATATACAATCTGAGAATGCATCATATTTGCTTGGAAAGGTAACTGGAGACATACGTGTCATATTTTATCAAAAAATGAATGGAGGGCGTCTCTTCTATGCTTGCTTTAACACAGCTTTCATCAGGAACAGCTTGCTACAGGTCTCAACTTCTTTCTCTTTGCAGCACTTTACTATAGTCCCGCATGTAAAATTAGAAATATGATTTCATCTTGTGTTGGTATTGTGAATCCCTACAGCTCACTGTGCCGGATTTGGATAAAATGGGGAAGAAAGGAAGATCGATATGTGGCCCTGCCTTCTGCTTGGAGTTGCTATTTGGTCCTGCGAATACTACACAATCATTCTTAAATACATCTGATAATCGTGATTTTCTATAAGTCTCAACACGGGATCGTTTAATAGGGGGAATGACTCTCATTCTGACTCACAAGCATTGATCCACTTGATAAAACCCTGCAGTGTTTCGGAACTGAAACAGTAGTCTACATACAAACAAAATCATTGTCCTCCTGCATTCTTGCCATCTAATTTTTCATTGGCAGAAAGAAAGCAATAGGAACAAGAAAAAGTTTTGTATCATAGTACTATCCAGAGCATTTTGCAGATGGTGATATATATATATATATATATTAGTTCAGTTTGGCTTCCTTCTTTTCATTCTACTTATAGATTGACTTATGATCAATCAAATCAATCTGCAGCATTCTATCGACTTATGCTATGCATGCCACAGACAAATGGCCTAAGTAGAAGCATTTCTTCATAAAATTATAACTTGAGCATCAGTCTTCACTTCCTTTAGCTGTTGACAGACAAAAGGGCGACGTTTTTCAACCCAAGGTGAATCTGAAGCATCGTCATTGGTCCAACTCCACTCACCATCATAATAGAGTTTCCCAAATGGATCGATTACCATCTTCTCCAGCTTCGTCGCCATTATCAGAACACAGATGGCAAGCTCTACCTCTTACTAGTTACCTTGAACCATGTTGATAGTAACTCTTTTCAACTAATCATGCAAAAATCCAGAATCAATGTTCCTTATCGCCGGTTGGCCCTCGTAGAACTGCGGTCCCCACCTTGCCTGCAAAAATTTGTGCATTCAATTTGGTAGAATGAGATGAGAGATTAGTATTGAGAGAATCCCACAACACCAAAAGAATTGACAACAGAAATCATTTGCAACAGTCTTGAAACAATTTAGTTACTGACCTTTATCGCAAGTTCTTGCAGAAGAGGTGTTGCCTTGAGAAACTTGAGAAACTTTAGAACCCACACGAGTTCATTGTCCTTGCTACTTTTTTCAGGCCCATGGACAACCAATTCCAGTTGCTTGAGGTTTCTAAATGTTGGTAAGCTTTCTGGTTGTTCCTTTACCTAAAAGAACATGAAAGTTATGGTTTTAAAAGGGATGCAAATATTGTCACGCAATATAACTATTTTGGAGCGTTAATAGCAGCTCTCTCATGCATTATCTAAAAATCAATCATCACTCACCAGATCATCCTCCAAGAGCAAATAAAGAGTCACGAGCTGAGGAAAGGATGCCAATCGGGTCAGTGCATGAGGGAATGCATTTTGTACCATGTGGTTATTAAAATATATTCTTGATAATCTTGGAGTTTTGATGGAAGAGATGTGATGAATATTTCCACTGTATTCAAAGGATGCAAGATTTACTGCAGAAATCTTGATATTTGCTGGATCATTAAAACAGTTGAGCACTTTTAAATCATTTAAACGAAGTGTTGGGCCATCAACAATCAGAGATGAGTCAATGCTGCAGCCAAGTAAGCTCAAGCTTTCAAGGAACAAACAAATAGAGAACATACTTGCCATAAAAACTTCATCCACAGTGACCCTTTCCAGATAAAGAGTTCTTAATTGCATGAATCCGTCAAAATCAGGAGGAGGCCTTAGAACACATCCGCTCAACCTCAAATGCTTTAGAGTTGATGATGTGGCCAATTCTGATCAGAAAAAATAATAGTCGTTCATCCTCGAAGTACGAAATAAGTGAAGATCAAGCACTTCAACTCCCCTTAAAATTGCAAAACTAATCCATGCATTAAGGGTGTCAGCTGATTTAGCATCCAAATAGAAAGCCGCTTTGAAAGAGTCTACCTTCTCACCACGGTACATGTTTCACAAAAATGTTAACTTTAGAATTTGGTGTGACATAATTGCTTCCAAAAATGTTTGGAATATTGAATTCGAGGTCTCGTCTTGTTAGTATGTGATCCAACCAGAGTTGCCGGTGCCTCCACCAGCAGCAGATCATGCTTGTACCGGCTGCTTCTTTTATGGTTAAGAATGAAAGAACGCTTTCAGGAAGTGCATTAATCCAATCCTTGCTCTCAATCTCCGTTACCTATAAGAATATTCAAGAAAAGCTCAGCAAATATTACCCTTGATCATATATCCTAGAAGACATGATTAAGTGGTAAACATAGGTTTTGCACTTCCATTGTTAGTAAGATTGACAGAAAAAACTTTGACATGCATCCAAAAACAGATAAAAGCATCAAAAGATTGATTCGGCACGAGTATGTTTTGCCATCTCTTCTTGAACCTTACCTTAGGTAATATTCCACTTCAGTCCATTGGCCTGAGATAGTTGAAATCTTGTGGACGAAAAGATTGAAGTTGCAGAAGATGCAGGTGTAAAAACAAGAGTTTTAGTCGTTTAGAGAGAGGTTGGGATTTAGGAACACCTCTTCCTTTGATAAGAAAAACCCTTGCTGCATTACCCTAAGAGTGCATGGAGGTTTTGAGTTATGAATATATAGAGTCAAATTCAAGAATTTGATGATTTTGGGTATATCTAAAATTTAAACCACTAGATAAAATGCAAATTAATTTTGTTATAACATTTATTAGCCATAGAAAGCCATAATTATAACACTTAGTTACTGCATTAAGTAACATAGAGAAGCTAAATTCTAACACTTACTTAGTTACTGAATCAAGTAAAGCAGAGGATCCAAATTCTAACAGTTATTTAGTTCCTTCCTAATCATCAAAATCACCATCTTAATTATATTCCGTCCCTGTTGTTAACTTCCACCTCGATGTCGTCTTCCCACAGGAATACACGTTGACGTACGTATGGATGCACATCAACAGGAACGTTTATCTCCATATACGTCCCAAGTGTTTTGAGTGCATCTTTAAATTCCTCGAAGTTTTGAGTTATAACCACCGGAGGAGGATCGTAGGGTGGATTTCGGGGATATCTGATGAAATCACTTCTTCCGGAACTTGCATTTTCAGCCTCAAAGTTTTCCACGATGGCTAAGTAAGTTTCAGCTAAGACTGATCTAAGAACTTGGAATCTAATTGGCTTGTCATCTCCAAAAGCCTCCCTAGCTTCATTCACTTCCTCTAGTGATGAAATCTCAACATTATGATATTTGCTCTGTTCCATTATTGGAAATTAAAGAAAAATAATTTATTTCTTCTTCTAGTACGAGCATCCACAATGGGGGGTGTATTTTCGGGAGTGTAAAGCCACTTTTATATCCCCTTTACACTCCGGGGGTTGTAAATGTAGTTTTTGCTACAATGGGAAAGATGTAAATCTAAATATGTATAATTGATTTTTTTTGTCTTAATTTGTTTTTGTGTTAAATTTTTATTTCGTGTTAACTTTATAAAATTAATTTTTTGTGTATTAGGTTAATTTTATTTTTTCAAACAAATAAACCTAAAAACATTTAAATTAGGAGAATATATGATTTCATCCAAAAAAATATTAAAGTTTGCTGTTTTTGAAAATCAAAATTGTTGGTTCAACAATGTAGCCGTTTGTTGGGGGGAGGATGACAACCAAAAAATGGGCCCACATATGAATTTTGGTCCAGCAACTTTTTTGCTGACTTTTCTCCACTTTATCTCATCTTTTCTCAGCTGAGTCCCACTTGTAAGAGATGTAAATAAAAATGTACATGTACATCTAAATTCTCATGGTAGTGATGCAAATTTACACTTGTTTATACCTCCCCATTAAAGATGATTCCGATCACAAAGAGTGTATATTTAATATACACCCTATTATATGCCTCCCATTGTGGATGCTCTTAGTGTTTGAGAAGAGAAGCTACTTTGTATTTGCATTTCATGCTTTTATGGTGCATGGATGGGTCATTGACATGCGATGAAGTTTTTTATTTGTCATGAGATTCAAGCCATTGATAACATAAGGCTCATTACATTTGGATGTGTTGACCGTTGGATGACAAGAAATTCGACCACAATTGATTTGGCATGTTGATCTAGAAGCATTGTTCTGCTGTTAGAGTTTGCCTACACAGCAAAAAGCCCAACAAGATATTAACAACTGAGATTAAATTTGTAATCAAAAGAGTATTGGATATATAAAAGTATCAAGGACCTCATGGTTGTCACTTATGGTTAAATATCAAGTGGCCATAAGGTCAAAGCTATGTCTTAAAGTTAGAGCTTACTATCAAGGTTTGAGAAGTTGATATTGGCCATAACCAACACCAAATTTGCAAAGGACTCATTGGAATAGTGGTTTGGAGCAATTGATTTCTTAAGAAAGGATATGAGTTTGAATCTTAGCATCCGTGTTGTGCGTATAAGTTTAATATATTATCGTCTCCTCTCAATAAGAAAGGTCATCAAATAAATAAAAAAGACACCAAATTTTGTAACTAAGCAAAATAATGACTCATAAAAAAAAAGTATAAAATTGATGATGTGTATTTAACGTCATTCAGGACTCAAATTTGGTACTCTTAACATTACTCAGAATAAAATATAGAATAAGCATATGTGGGCAATGCTAGTTGGTCAAGGAGTGAGTCCGATTCTTTGCACTCAAGTTTGAATACCTTTTCTCATACATTATATTAATTTAAACTATCGTTTGTATAAAAAAAATATATAATAAGATTTTTAATTCGAGAATTCAATTAAAGTCCAAATCCGTTAACTTAACAAGTAGAAAATAGAGTTTTTTTTTCTTCCAATGAAATAGAGTTTGATAGAAATCCAATAATAATTGGATGTGACTCAATGTAATATATAGTTGCTTATTGTATAAATTAAAAAGTAAATATATACAATAAAATAAGGAAATTACTGATCAGATTTTATTCGGTCGGATCATTATTGAGTATGGTTTGGTCTGAAAGTTGAGTTCAATGATCTGACCAAAAAAAAAATCCAATCCAATTATGAATGGATTCGGATTAGGTTGACCCGCCCCGAATTCAATCCTTTACATAGTGCTACGAAAAAACAACCGGGTCCAGAGGTGAACCGGTACCGGTTTACCGAGCTATTCCTACTTCTCTCCCAAGTTCTTGTTTTGGTCGGACTAAGTTTGTTCTGCCTAAAGTGACTCCTAAGTCGTCCCAAATTGTTCTAAGTCGCAGACCATCAAAACCTCTGTGTTGTTGTTTCACAATGGCCACTGCTCCCATCAGTTTCTCTCACTAAAAACTCTAGCTTGTTCTTCCATCATCACAATAAAGCCAAAATCCAGATACCCATCTGTTTGTTTCTCGGGAAAATTCCACAGGGAGAGAGCCCAGATTGGTATATCTTCCATTCTAGAGAAGAAAAAATGGCGACGCCGAAACCCCAGAGGTCCCGGGAGGAGTTGGAGGACATAGTCCTCCGGAAAATCTTTCTCGTATCGCTGACCGATTCCTCCGAATCCGATTCCCGAATCGTTTACTTGGAGATGACTGCAGCAGAGATTCTGAGCGAGGGCAAAGAGTTGAGGCTCACTCGGGACCTCATGGAATCGATTCTAATTGATCGTCTTTCGGGCGATTTTGCCTCTGCTGAACCGCCTTTCCAGTACCTCATCGGGTGCTACAAACGGGCTTATGACGAGGGTAAGAAGATCGCTGCAATGAAAGATAAGAACTTGAGGTCTGAATTGGAATCTGTGGTTAGACAAGCCAAGAAGCTATCGGTTTCGTATTGTAGGATTCATTTGGGGAACCCGGATTCGTTTTCCAACCCGAATAAGTCAAATGCGTCGCCTTTATTGCCCTTGATTTTTTCAGAGGGTGGGGGCTCAGTTGATGGGTTTGGAGTTAGTGGTAGTGGTGGGGGAATCCAGTGCCCACCTGGGTTTTTGGATGAGTTCTTCACGGACCCCGATTTCGATAGCTTGGACCCAATTTTGAAAGGGTTGTATGAGGAACTTAGGGAGATTGTGCTTAAGGTTTCGGCCCTCGGAAACTTCCAGCAGCCATTGAGGGCTCTGTATTTTTTGGTTAAGTTACCAGTTGGTGCAAGGTCTCTTGTCAATCACCCTTGGTGGATTCCCAAAGGGGTATACTTGAATGGGCGAGTTATTGAAAGGACTAGCATTTTAGGTCCTTTCTTCCATGTCAGTGCTCTGCCGGATCATCCAATTTTCAAGAGCCAGCCTGATGTCGGGTGAGCGAATTATTGTGTTTATTGTTTGCACGTTTGTAGATGGTGCTCGTGCTTTTGTGGGGCGATTGTTTGCATTTTGTTGTTGTTGTTGTTGTTGTTATGTTCTTTCCTTGGTTGGTGGTATATTAATATAGGAAAATAACAGAATCAAAATCTTGTATGCTGTGTTGTTTACTATTTTTTAGACTGTAGAAGACTGAGGCTCCCTTCAGTTGAACCTAATGTATCTGTTTGGCTTGTTAAACTTACTTTTCTCCTTTTAAAGAGAAAAACAAGCAAGTAAGTATAGGAGTCAATTTGCTTGTCTGCCTTCGCCCCTTCTCAAGTTTGGTACTGTGGTTAGTGAATTAATTTGTCTTTGGTTGATTAAAAGAAACTGAACCATTTATGAAATTGGTAGATCTATCATGGATCATCTATGTGCATATTGTTTCCTTTGACATTGCATTCTATACTCTCCTTCTTTTTGAGTTAGTAGTTCCTTTTTCTTCTCTTTATTGTTAAATAGGAAAGGTTTCTTAATGCATTGGTTCTCTATTGATACACCAGGCAGCAGTGCTTTTCAGAAGCTTCAACTCGGCGACCAGCTGATCTGCTCTCTTCATTCACCACAATTAAGACAGTCATGAATAATTTATATGATGGCCTTGCCGAAGTTCTTCTCTTACTTCTGAAAAATGCAGACACCCGTGAGAACGTTCTTGAGTATCTTGCAGAGGTGATCAATAAAAACTCATCAAGGGCTCATATTCAGGTATTTCCTTTGATCATTTGAGGTGAAAATAATGATGTTGCTTGTGACAAGATTGTTACTATGGCCAGTAAAACTACAAGCCAAACAATTATTTATTTTTTGGTCTTGCCTGAAACCTTTTCCTAGTGATTTATCTTGTCAATTTTTAGTAATAATTTTTTTGGATTCGTATGTTATAAACATTTAGTCATTTGTAACTATGGTCACAGGTGGATCCTCTTTCATGTGCAAGTTCAGGCATGTTTGTCAATCTCAGTGCTGTCATGCTTCGTCTTTGTGAGCCGTTTTTAGATGCAAACTTAACAAAAAGGGACAAAATTGATCCAAAATATGTATTTTATAGTAACCGTCTGGAGTTAAGGTGAGGACTTCTTGATTAGCAGACATATATTTTCTCTTCTGATCTCTTGTCAAGATTTTGCAAATGCTAACCATTGTTTATGGGCCTATATTAGAGGGTTGACTGCGCTACATGCATCATCTGAAGAAGTTACTGAATGGATTAACAAAGATAATATGGGGAATCCTGATGGCTCTAGACACAATGGTGATGGTGAAAATCGCCTTTTACAATCTCAAGAAGCCACCAGTTCCGGAAATAGTGTCAATGTGAACCCAAGCAATGAAAAAGCTAAATATTCATTTATTTGTGAATGCTTCTTCATGACTGCAAGGGTGCTCAATCTGGGTTTGCTGAAAGCATTTTCTGACTTTAAACATTTAGTACAGGTAATTGGGGTGTGATTTTTATATTGGCAGACATCCAGTACAGCACCACGTTTAGTAACATCTTATTGCGTGCTATTTCATGATTTAGGCAATTGGTGTACTTCATGAACTTTGTTTTTCTTTACAAATTGTTATATGTAAATGATGGGTGGAAAACTTATATGTTAAAAATACTTAATCCAGGATATTTCAAGGTCTGAAGAGACTCTCTCCACACTCAAAAACATGCAAGGCCAGTCATCTTCTCCACAGTTGGAGATGGATATAGCTCGCCTTGAGAAAGAAATAGAGTTGTATTCACAGGAAAAGCTTTGTTATGAAGCTCAGATACTAAGGGTATGTCCGAACTCTGTGCGCACATTTGTGTTTGTGTGTGTGTGTGTGCATGTGCATATTGTGGGGTCATACACTTTTTTTGGGAGGTAAGTTCTTGTGGGGTTATACTTGGTTTTCCTAACCTTTTAGACTTAACGCTGTCTTTATTTTTGCACGGGTGTTGAGGCATGGAGACCTATTAAGTG